ACACATCCCGAATCATGCAAGTGTTTTTCCTTTCAATTGCGGTACTCTATGTTTCCCAAGCATGCTCTCAATGAGAGCTCTCATCCGGATATCCAATCTTCTGCTTATCTTCAGCGTATTATTTCCCACATGCTGTTCAATAGCTTCATCCTGGTCGGCGTCGTCTGCATCGCCTCATTCTTCCGTCCTACGTATGGCCAAACTCACGCTCGCAGTCTGTCGAACGTGCATTTCTGCGGGGACTTCTGTGACAAATGTCCTTCTAGCTGTAAATGCACATTCCAGGTTTGCTGTGGATGTAAGTGTCACGAGTGCAGAGATATGGTCGTTTAAGAGCGGAACCAGTTCTGAAGTTTGACTTATTATCTTCAAGACATCGTTCTAATCTAACCACACCACAGTTCCCGTTATCTATGAGTATTGTCCTGCCGAGTCTAAGATCAGATCATATGTTGAAGTTTGATTATGCTCTATAGTTGAGCATACCTTCCATGCCGCATATAGCTTACGGGTTTTTTTGATATATTTTGATACAAGTCCTCAGCTTCTTACAGTTTGTCTTGTTCTGTTCAGTAACTGGATCTACGTAACATCCTACTGATTCTTTCAATTTGGATATTTCAAATCGACCACTCTCTGAGAAGCCCATTATGTTTCATAATTTATAAATGAAACTCGGCCCTGGAACCTAGCGATACAGGATGGTGCCGAGAAAGTGTCCACCCCTCGTAATTTTGCGGCACGTGACACTTGATGAACAACAAAAGCATCATTTGAAAGCCATCATTGAGCTCTTCCCAATCCTGTATGAACGGTTGCACGCTGTTGCAATGACAAAAGCGCACGCCCTAGGATCGCAACTTACCTGTCCTCTCCTTCAGATGACCAAGTCTTTTTAAATCCTCCAGGATCTCAATGTAACCATTCCATGTCTATATGCTGGTGCTCCAGATAATGTTAGTCTATGTGTTAATTGTAGTCGGGGTAGTAGCATTAAGATTCCAATAATCGACTAAATTAGTCATGCATTGTAAGTGACCTTCAACTCCACCATATCGATAGTACAGTACTTCCATCTTGATATGTCCGACGAAGATGAGGTAGAGATGGCAGCCCTCCGACAAGCTCGGGAGTTCTCCAGTCGTGGGAAGGCCATACGCCGGCAAGAGTAGTACGGGTGGCATGGGTCAGGGGGGCTCTTACTACTCATCCAGGTTGGCGTTGGAAAGTCTCATGGGTTAGTGAATATATGCAATCACTATATTGCTAATCTATCGTGTTGCTAGTGAGATGATCCTCTTGCATAACAGTGTGTGCATTATTGTTCGGGTCTCGTCCATTGTTGATAGACAGTATTGGAATAGGTCGACTGGAATGGCCAGTACCTCATCCAGTTCTGGTATGGGAGGAGGAGGAGGGTCGTGGCTGCTCCCACCTCCTGAGATGCATCTCCCTATGCAGTTCGGTAAGCAGGGCAACCGAGTGAATACCGAGGCAGTCCATGAAGAGTAATACCACCGTTTGGTCCTCGTATTTGTACGTGCAGTCTAAAGAGCCCGTTTCATGCCAGCGCCATAGCTTCCCAACTAGAGCTCAAACGGAACTGAAATTTCGTATATAGGCTCTCCTGACACTACGATATCGCTGAAGTATGTCAGGGATCAAATTCTCGAAAAAATGTTTCGGCCACATTTTACACCAAGGTTGTAGGTATAGGAAATAATATTGTTAGGAGAGCCTATAGTCTCAATTGCAACTTGCTCAACGCTCTAGCTGGAAAGTTATACCAGTGACATAAAACGGGCTCTTCAGATTGCGCGTAGTATTGTAGCATCCATTCTCTTTAGGCACATGCGAGTACCTCTCGACGAGCCTCCAACAGTGGCAGCACAAGCACTAGCTGGGGGTGTATCGGATGAGGATGATATCGTTCGACGAGAGGCACCGTAAGTTGTAGGTTATCGAATATGGAGTTACCATTGTTGACCATTTCAGAAGCCGTATACCTGATACCCATGAGATATGTCTGGACCTTTGTCCTGAATCGAGGCATAAGTAATGTCATCTTCTCCGACAGCAATGGGTTTGGCATTCCTTATGCCTCTAGGTCTCTGACTACGTTAACGATGGACCCTAAGGGTAGCCGGATGGTCACTGGAGGGACAGATGGTGTGGTTAGGTAGTATATGGGACAAGGATGTTTTGGGGGGACTCCTATTAGGGTAGGCGATGAATAGTCAATGACTGCTAAAGTATCGAGATGGTGCTCTTAACCTTCTTGGTTGATAGTTCAAATAGATGTTAGTATACGCAATGTGGGACACCATTCACGAGTAGACCGCGTGAATTTTAGCAGGGTTTTGGAAAGTGTGGTAGGTCCACAACGGTAATGATAGCATCCTTCAACTTCCTATTGGATATTGCACTAGCCTTTGTATACTTCTGATTATTGTAGACTACGCAGTAGAACGTTGAATAGTATAGAACATGAGAATAGCAGTCGCACTGCCGTGTAGTAGTTTTGTGTAAGCTGTGGGAAAAATATACAGAATTCTGTCAACTACGAGTGTTGATGATAATGAGGCAATTTTGGGGAATTTTTATGAGTTCCTGATTTGCCTTTGAATGCCATCATCACTCTTCGTGTGTCAGTCTCTATAATGTAGTTTATGGACTTTTGCGCGTCTCAGCTGGGTAGAAGTTATATTCTAATACTGTATGCAGGTATTGGGATCTAAATGGTATCAATGCATTGGACCCGAAGCCCTTCAGAGAGTTTACCCCACAGGAAGGATATCCAATAAATTGTGTGAGGTAGTGAGGCTCTATGATGAGAGTTATCAGGCTCATCACCGTGCCTCAGGTTTAGTAACAGTGGTGGGCAAGTATTGGTACTACCTGCAGATGCTAGGTGTCGTATGTAAGTCCTCATCACTTCTTACTGCTCCCTGCAAGCAGCACTAGAGTAATGGTGGCCCTCAGTCATGATCGTAACGGTACAAGTGCTCCTATACAGCAGACTATAAAGGGTGATCAGTACATAAGAGATCTACAGCATACTAAAGGCCATACTGCTACCATTACTGATGGTATTATCTCTTAGTATTGGAGGTATCCGACTTGTATGATATCGCATGAGCATCTCAGGCCATTGGCATCCAATGGATCCCTCTAAATGGATAACATCAAGCCTTGACTGCACTATAAGAATATGGGATATCAACACTCCAGGAACCGGCATGGTGAGAGCAACCACTTACCGCTCCGCCTCTAAAATTCGAATCTATGTTAGGATATGTGGATACCCTGCATTCATACACTCAAGTGTGTGGATAAGCGTGGTATATGTGGTGGTCGGGGCGGTGTTGAAAACCAACTTTTCATCAATTCGTGCGGGTGAGTTATCGTAGTCAATATATGATGAGTTTATTCCATCTTTAGGTTCAAACCCTATGATGGTGGCTTTATTGTTGCAGGGTGTAGTGATGGCAGTATTCAGCTATTCAATGAACGCAAGAGGTAATATGGCCTTCTTGCAACCTATCATAACAATACTCTCATACTATCAGATACGGTAAGGCTGATATGATAGCTCGGACAGCCCATACCGATGTGGTTACCGCTGTTAAAGTACTAGAGGATGGTCATAGGATGCTCAGTAGAAGCTTGGATGGTAAGCCATTATCGAGTCCGGCCTTCTGGGGACGAAACTCGACCATTACAGTATCGAGTTATTCTCATCCAACGTTGGCTGTATAGCAACGTATCATTGCCTAGTGCTTGCATTCTTTAGTAGATTCCTCTCTCCATATCGTGGGCCGCCTTCAGGTACGATGAAGATGTGGGACTGTCGTAAGCT